ACACAAAATATGCACTCTAGAGTCAATTCTTTAACAAAAAAAGCTTAAAAGATTTAACATCAATATAAAATCTCAACCAAAGCAAATAAAATTCAACTAAAAGAAATATAGTGCAAGATGTTAATCTAACAAATGAACTAAATCAAGCAAAATTCAAGTCACTCTGGAAAAACTATAATAAACATATAATCTCAACCAAAGCATATAAAATTCAACTAAAAGAAATATAGTGCAAGATGTTAATCTAACAAATGAACTAAATCAAGCAAAATTCAAGTCACTCTGGAAAAAATATAATAAACATTTATTTATTATTTTTTTATTCAACATATTTCTCAATATATAAAAATTTATATCAAGACAACATCCAACTCTTTGTATTGTAACATCAGTTGTGTAACTTTTTTCTTTAAAGGTGAAAACTGTTGAAAACAACAAGACTGTTTTTTCTTATTGCACAAATTCATATCCAACTCCACGTGTTTCTATTGATGTCATTTCCCCGCTAGAAAACTGTGTGATGGAGGTCCATGGAAGGCAAATATGTTTAAATCAAATAAACAAAAGAGGATGCAGTTAAAATAAATAAAAGGTATTTAAGCTCCGTTTTGAACATCCAGAACACGTCCAACACTTGTTGGCTGCTTGTGCTCTTTAGGTCAGACGTGTGTCGGGAAGCTCCTCTGTTGTTTGAGACGCTGGGGGAACCGTCTGATGGGGGAACCGTCTGATGGGGAAACCGTCTGATGGGGGAACGTGGCTCGACCTAACACCGGTCTCTGTTTAATGGTGGATGAAATAAAGAAAGTGCTGCTACTTTATTTACTTTGAGCAATCAAACGTCGTGCTCCCAAGATAACTAATCCAGCAGATAATTCAGAGGCGGTCTGTTCAGTAAATTTTACTCCAGGAGCTGCGAGGCTTGTTTTCAAGCTTCAGACTGAACTGAAGCAGCAGCTGCTGACGTCATTACGCTCTTGCTTGATGCTGCCTTCAGGACAAGCATGAAAAACTCACCACTCTTATGCCAATACGGTCGCAATGATGCATTTAGGTACACACTTTAACAAGATTCCCACTCCCTGTACTGGCCACACAGCCCCACACCATGATGGAACC